TTCTGTATATATATATATATAAATGGTAACATGTATGTTATCCTAACATATTTTTAATTAAAATGGAATATTATAACAATACTCTACAAGTAATACAATGAACACATGTTACCCTAATATGTAATTCGTTAAAAATGTTGGTTTTTAATGAAAAGTTGAAATATAGTTATAAATAAAAATAAAGTATATTTTAAAAAATTATAAAAGGAGATAGATGTAAAATAATAAATTTTAAAAAATATAATTATTTATTTAAAATGATAAGATGAAGTATTCAAGTTTTTTGAGCAAAAGTAGGGAGTTTCGAAGTTATCCCCTTTTATCCAAAAAATTCATCTACAAAATACAACAAACGGAAAAAAAAATGGAATATTTCATAACTAAGAGGTTATGTTTCACCAATTTCAAATTTAAGAAACTAAGTTTAAAATTTCAAATCTGAATTTTTTTAAAATTTTATTTATAAATTAATTAATTAAACATATATTTTATTAATTAAATATATTAATGTCCCAATTCCATATAATTGGTCACAAATAACAATTTTTATATGTCACAAATTATTTTATGTTCACAATTCAAGAATTTTATAGGTCACAATTTATTCATCAGTCACAAATCAAAAATTTGTATGTCACCATTTATTCATCGATCACAAATCTATTAAATTAATAATCACATATTACTTATTGGTCACTAATCACAAATTTTATAAGTCACAACTTATTTTATGATCAAAAAATATAAAATTAATTGATTACAAACTATATTTAGGTAACAATTTATTAAATGATTGGTCACAAATTAATAAGCCCCTGTTCGTTCCACATATTTTGCCAATTTTTAGTAAAAATTTGCCCGTTGCAAGAGCAGTAGCCGCATTATTGATATATCAGTGGGACCCTTTGTGCAACAATTACTAACACAAAATTCACTTATATGCCCAAAAATCCTTTTTGTAAAGAGGAGTGAATTAAATTAAATGTGACACATTGGTAATTTCAATCATCTTAGTCAAACATTGTGGCTCTGCTTCACTGATGTGGTACTATATATAACGACATGATTTCTTCTAAAAAATAGATACAAATGCCTCCAAAACAGGCACTAAATTTTTAAGTCACAAAGTATTTATTGGTACAATTTATCTATTTCATTGGTCACAATCAACCAAATTATTTGTGATCACTACCATCACACCGTTGTAACAACCCAAACCACCGTCATCAGAACCACCAACACCACCTCCCGGCAACAAAACCATCGCCTCAAATTTGATAAATTGTGACCGTCACAATAGTTGTCTCCTCTACCGCAATCGCCACCACTACCACCAACAACAATAAATCAAATCCAAAACTAACAATACCCAACAACCACCATCACCTCATAGCCGTCGTCACCGCCTCCACCATCGTCACCATTACCACCCCCACCATTTTCATCTACCACCACAACTATAATATCCAACCTACACATCTTCGCAGACCTATGAGCAATAAACCATCACGGTAACAATACCTCACCGCCCTTCACCAGTTTCGCCACCATCATGCAACCAACCACCGCACATCATTGCTGTTAGATCCACTGCCATCATCAAAACCACCACATCAGCACTGCCACACCAATCAAACAGATCCAAAATCGCCCAACACCCCACAACCACCATGACGTCACAGCCGTCGTTGCCACTCCACCACCGTTACATCAAGCGAGTTGTCATAGTGACGACAGTAGCAACAACGGTAGTTTCGATTTTAAAGATAGAGACGATAGTGAAGAGAGAATGGAGGAGAGATGAGAGAACCACCGCAGCCGCCGCCACCACTGCCACGACATCCACTTGCACCACCAACAAAAACCTCAACAACTCATCGCTATGCTTACCATCGCCAGATGCAACATCACCGCCACACCTCTACCTGCACAACCAACAAAAACCCCCCCACAGTACCAAACCACCACTACCACCACCACAAATAGCATCAACACCACTACAACACCCCCAAGCAAATTCACCATCATCACCACTATTGAAAACTACACGCCGCTCTCAGATCTGCTTACATCGGATTACGCCGTCGCTGCTGCTCGTGTCGCTGTAGTGTCATGTGGCAGTCACGCGCGGCGCCGTAGAGGGAGGGGAGCTAGAGATGTAGAAGAGGATAAAATTAGGGTTTGGTTGGACAAGAGTGGGTATATAGATTAATTTAGT